TCGGTTGTGATCGCGAATCGCGTGTTTTCTATTGAACCTGGTGGTCGTTGTAGTGATAGAACTGAGATATTGAATGATCCAAAGCTTTCTGTCTTGTATGGCAAAAAGGAGTGCTGAAATTTCTGAGTTCGGTTGTTTATTGTCAACTCGATCTCCAGCTTAACAGTTGGATTCCAATGAGGACATCGGACCACTTCGAATATTCGTTCGGATACCGGTTTTTGAACGACTCTATAAAACCAACAGCTGGGTAGTGGTAGTGCGCAACCGCAGAAAATTACCTCCACAACTACTCATGCAGCCTGCCTATCCCGGATATCTTAACGTGTGGTTTAGTTCTGGTATTTTTCGTTGGCTTTTATCGTTTCACATTTTCTTGTCGTGCAGGACCCTGCGTTGACACAACGCTTCGAATGAAATATCTGCGTTTCGGATGGTCTTGTGAAAAATTCCGTTGTTTTCGAGCATTTGAACTCCACTGTTTTCTTCTCGAATCTTGCCAATCCTACGGTTTTGTTGGCATGCAGTATTTCGATGCAAAGTTGAGATTGGAGCTTGTTGAATAAGAGCTCTCTGTTATATTCTAGGTGACATTTATTCTTTTCGTTGCATATAAGTTCTGCTGAATGGCGCATAAATCCATGCTGGCATGCTGCAGCAGGTGCGATTAAGCATAACACTGCGCATAACGCAAGAATCACACCAGGTAGTGGTGCTAATTCAAAGTTTTCAGCTGGTGCTGTTGGCCTGACAGTTTGGCGTCCGACTGATCTTGTTGTTTCATCCTGGTGTTTTATTCTTTTTATTATCTTCCTTGTCATCCATATCGTGACTAGGATTAGTGTTATGGCCAAATAGATTAGAACAGCCGAGGTCGCAATAGCGCCAGCTGGCCAGCAATGTGGATTACCTAGCAAGCTTTTAGAGAATAAGTATTGGTGCTCGCAAAATTTCGCTCTTTCGCACAGGACGAGTTTGTACATGTGTTCCGTCGCTATGGAGGGTTCGTAAAAGTACTTTAGCTCCTTTCTCGGTAGGAGAAATTGGCAGAATATACCTTGTGTAGCGTGTAGTGTTGTTCATTGATTGGCATTCATCGTCGATGCATAGTTCAAACCAGCCATTCAGCGGGGGACACTAACCACGCCAACAGAGCATGATATAATTGATGAATTAACGGTCGCAATTGCCGGGCTGATCATTATAGAAAGCAGTGCGAGCAATATCAGCGATGAATTCATCGGTTTTGATCTTGATAAGTGGCATAGATTGCTATCCATATTTCGGAAAAAGTCGAAGGCACGCGTTTTTGAGATCCTGGAAAGTTTTTGTCGTCTTTCTGATGTCTCATTTGCGTTTTGCGGTTCTGATTCGTTTAAAGGGCGTTGTTGTTCAACTTCTCCCTCAGTAATGCGGGTACTATCGTGCGGTTCTTCGACAACACTACGTATCTCGAGTGGATATAGCTTGTTCAGAGGACGTTGTATGATTCTCTGATTTGGCATCAATATTTTTGCTGACCTGACTAGTCCATCAGCCGAGGTAATTATCTCAGTGATTTTGCCGTAAGGCCAACTTCCTCTCGGTAACAGGTCTTGTTCAATCAATACGATTTCCCCTATATCGGGGCAAGATCGTTGCAGATGTCTGGGTTGTTTCAGGTGTTGTTTTTGCATTTCCCTCAAGGATGTGAGGTATTCACACCTCCAACATTCCCAGAATTTGTCCGATATAATTTCGGAAAAGCGCATAGCTTCTACAGCTTGCTCTCTTGACTGTATAAGTTCAGGATCATAAGACGGATCATTGGTGATTTCAAGGTTTCCTCCTTCCGGGATGGAAAACTTGATGTTTCTCTGGAGAAAATCGATTGGACGTAACGGAATTTCGGTAATGTCGTCCGGATTCAACTTTGTTAGAGGCCTGGTGTTCAGAATTGCTTCTATTCTTGCCATTGCCGTGGACATCTCAGTAAAACTCAACTTTTTACGTCCCACTGATTTATTCAGTGCCTTTTTGACAGATGCCACGAGTCTTTCCCAAACGCCACCCATCCAGGGGGACGCTGGTGGATTGAATATCCATTTAATTCCTCTAGTTGCGCAATAGGACATCAGAGAAGTTCCTGATGATTCATCATTCTCAAACATTGTGGCTATTATTTGCTCACCTTGCTTGAAATTAGTTCCGCAATCGGTGCGCATTAGTTTTGGAACACCTCTTCGTGAAATAAATCGCACGAAACTGTTTAGAAATGCGCTCGTTGTCATATTTTCCACGACTTCGAGATGGACTGCTCTAGTTGTCAAGCAGGTGTATAATGCTACATACATTTTTTCCTGTGTTTTGAGTAAATGGTCCCATGAAATCACATCCTGTGTTTTGGAATGGTGTTGATGCGATTACTCTGTCTATGGGAAGAGCAGGCATTATTGGTGCACCTAACGGTAGACCTTGGTATTTTTTGCATGTGACGCAACCTTTTACATACTTCTTAAATGCGTTTGAAGCTCGCGGAATCCAGAATCTCTGGCGCGCAATGGTCAGTGTGTGCTCTTTTCCACAGTGAGCATTATCAGAGTGAATTTGCTGCACGATTAGTCGAACAAGTTCTGACTTGGGCGGTATGTATATGGGTGACTTTGTGTCATGAGGAAGAGCAGCGTTTTGTAGGCGAGATTCATGCCTAATTATGCTGTTTTCATCGATTATTAGTTTCTTGTCAGGAAACCGCTTCTGTAGATCTTTGAAGCATTCGTTACACTGTTCTTGAGCAAAAATGAAAATCTCGGCTAATTCAACATCGGAGCTGGTTATTTCGGTCTCTGTGCTGAATTTTGAAATCCTTGTGAGCTCTATATTGAGAGATTTACTTTTGTTTGTCAAGTTTACCCACTGTTTCGTTAGTTTGCCGACCTGAGCTACTACTCGTAGGGCTTTGCTTAGGCAGGAAAACCGACAAATCAAAGAGTGTCTCCTTGTTTTTATTCTCTGCAACAATTTCGATGTTTGAGAGTATGATTGGCTCCGATTCCTCGGTGATAAGTTCGATTGAGTCTAACTTTCTCACTGGCCATGTTTCGGGACCATTTTGTAGCCACTGTGGGCCTTTCACCCAGTCGCTGTGATTAATTTCTTTTGAGCTAAGCCCTCTTGTTCCTGCATCTGCAGGATTATGTGTAGTGGCGACGTGAAAGAAATTGACGTATATGCCATTGGATTCGAGTTTGGACTTGATTTCCAGGATCTTTTTGCGTTGATTTTCAACGAAAAGTGGTAATTTTTTACTGCTTTTAATCCAGTACAGAGCGATTTCGCTGTCAGATGCGATTGAGATCTCGTGTATGTTGTACTTGGCTGCAATATTGCTGCTTAGTCGAGCAGCCATTAAAATTGCAACCAATTCGAGACGTGGAATGGTCTGTTTTATCTTTTTTGGTGTCAATCTTGTTTTTCCACTAATCAATGGCGAGATATTGCTCGTTAATTTGCACTGTAAGTAAGCGCAGGTCGACATCGCGATGGTGCTAGCGTCGGCGAATACCCATAGGCGATGGTTCGCACCCGAGGACTGACCCGAAACGAGACGAGGGATAATGACACATGCATTATCGACCTGTTTAGTCAAGTTGTTCCATTTATTACAAACTTCATGACTGACTAGATTTTTCCAGTCTGTTTTGCCATTGAATACTTCTCTCATTAATGTTTTCAAATGTACGAGTAGTGGGCCAGCGATTCCAATAGGATCGTAGACCGAATTGATCTGACTAACTATATCCTTTTTGGTTAGTTCCTTCATAGGTGGGAAGTGTGTAGTCACCATGAAGGAGTCTCGGTTTATGTCGTATTTGACACCGAGTATTTTCATCGAAGAACATTGAAGTCTGTCAATATCGGGGATTAAAGAATTGACTTCAGTTGAATTCGAGATGTATTCTCGCAAATTCATGCCGATTTTGGTGAATAATTTTTTCGATTCGTTGTACTTTTGCATGGCCTCTTTTGGAGTATCAGCCTGC